CAGATCAATCCCTAAAACAACCTTTAGGCTGATCTAATTAGTCATTTTAATTGCTTTCATTTGTAACGTTTTTTTTAGGCCATCAATTAACAGGAAAATCATCTGTAGAGATTTACAGACAAGTACTGTTAATAGGTTGTCGTTGTATAGAGTTGGACTGCTGGGATGGCAGAACAGAAGAACAAGAACCAGTAATTACTCATGGAATGACATTTTGTACTGAAATTGCTTTCAAGGTTTGTTACCTGAGAGTTGAAATATGATTATGCAAAACAATAGACCTTTTAACTTTGTCCAACAGTCAGTCAGTCATGGACTGACAGTTGGACACTGCATATGGCTGTGCATTGTGCACAGTGCATTGGCCAATCATTGGTTGACAGTTGGCTGATTGTTGGCCAATGATCGGCCAACAGTTAGGGAAGGTACGTTTTATGTTGTGAGGCTTGGGGCTTCATAGGGAAGGCTCAAGAATTTACAACTGGCTTATATAAGCCTATATGGAACTAGATTGTGACTTGACCAGTTGTTATCTGTTGTTGTTAGGATGTGATAGAAGCCATCGCAGAGTGTGCCTTCAAGACAACTGACTATCCAGTGATCCTATCCTTTGAAAACCACTGCACGTGAGTTTTGAATGATACCAAATAAAAAACTAAATTTGCATTTATCCCAATAGACCAAATCATTGTTGTCCCATTTCAGATGATATACCATGTATAGTAAGATTTGTAGTTTACTGTCGTTCTACCGTGAACACTTGAGATTATTTTATCTAATTTTTTAGTCGTGTAAATATACTTTTATTTTTTCTTTCTCTTTCTTCATTTCATCTCCTTGAATAGCTTTTATAGACTTTCAATACATGTAACTTTAATTCTATTGTTTTGATTCCAACTCTGATTGGTTGACAAACTTGAGTGTTCAAAGTTAGAGAAGAAGGACAGTAACACTATGTAAAACTATATTTTTTAAAGCTTTAATTATAGAAGTGTGAATTAATACTCACAAGAAAGTGTTGTTTAGAAATGGAAAAACAGTGATACAGTTTAATTAAGCATGGCATCTCAGTTTACTCACAGTTAGGTCTCCCACCCGAGCAAAATTGAAAGTAAATATCAACATTTATATATTTTTTATTATTTAATTCAATATTCAACTTTTTATGTGCCATATTGTTGTTATTGCTTAGCCCCAAACAACAGTCCAAGATGGCTGCCTACTGTGTGAACATCTTCGGAGACATGCTGCTTGATAAACCACTAGAAGAGTATCCAGTAAGTTAAGTGAGATTCATTGCCTCCTTGGTACCTCTCCCATAAGGTGGTGGTGAGCTATTAATAAATGGAAGGGGAATTAAGATAAGGGACTTGCAAAGGCTAGGAAAAGTTGGAATTGCAAGTTGCAATTAATTATGTAAAGCAAAATAAGAATGCTGGAAAGAAAGGTGTAGGTTAAAAGAGGGATGTAATATATAAGGAGGTGCATGTAGGTAAGGGGGGTGTAAGTAATTGGGTGTAGGTAAGGGAGGTGTAAGTAAGGGGGTGTAGGTAAGGGAGGTGTAAGTAAGGGGGTGTAGGTTAAAAGAGGGATGTAATATATAAGGAGGTGCATGTAGGTAAGGGGGTGTAGGTAAGGGAGTTGATGCAGGTAAGGGGGTGTAGGTAATTTAAAAGTCTAAAATATAAGTTTTTTTGTGTTTTTTTCTCTTTTGAGCTTGAGGATGGCAAACCTCTACCTTCCCTCAAATCATTATTAAGAAAAATCATAATCAAGAATAAAAAAAGAACGTCTAAACGAGAGGAAGGTGAGTGAATTAACATTGCGCAATGGACTACTTCTTCATCAATACAGCAGCCATCTTGCCAGGGGGCAAAACAAAACAAATGAAAAAATAGAGAGAGAGAAGCACGGGAAGCACTGGTGGCATAGTGGTGTGAGCACTCACCTCTCAACAATGTGACCTGAGTTCAAGTCCCGTCAGGTTCGGTGTTGTATGTTAGTAGAGTTGTTTGTTGGTTCTCTCCTGTGCTTCGAGGATTTTCCGGGTTCTCCAGTTTACCTCCCTCCACAAAAATCAACTCCTAAATTCAAATTTGATCRCGGAATGAGGGCCACAGGTTTGTTAGCCACTGGCTATTGAGTGCTATCCTCGTTAAAAAAAAGAAAAAAAAGGACTTTATATAGAGAGTTTCATGTGTTTGCCTTTCTTTTATGGGTAAAGATAATCAATGTGCCATCTTAATTAATCTTTTGTTATATTCTCTTGTGGTGAGCTGTTAATATCAATGTAACACAGCTTTATTTGCCTCCTGGACACCCTATAATGCATTGCGATCAAAAATGGTGGCAGTATTATTGTTAAAATATTCCATTAGCCTAAAAATCCTGGTCAATCTTAAGAGTAAATATAATCGAGGCCAAATGCCTGACAAGTTGTCATTTTTTCGTAGGAAATGAAAATGACACTTCTGCTCAGACCACTATAACTGACAATACCACAGAAAATGGTGAAAATAAACCAGAAATGAATGGTGAAGTAGTAGAGAACAACGATAATTCAGTAAGTGTTTTGGGTGGAAAAAGGTTCTTTTTGACACCTTAATTTAGTTTTTGAAATTTAATCAAGTCTCAAAGGATTGGACCAGCATGCAGTTTTAATGACGTTGAGATTTGGTCTAATTTTATCGTTATACTTATTAAAACATAGTATTATGCAAAAAATTTCATTTTCCCTTCATTGTTTTKCATTTTCCATTCTTTGTTTTGCATTTTCCATTCATTGTTTTCCATTTTCCATTCATTGTTTTCCATTCATTTTTTTCCATTTTCCATTCATTTTTTCCATTTTCCATTCATTTTTTTCCATTTTCCATCCATTTTTTCCATTTTCCATTCATTGTTTTGCATTTTCCATTCATTTTTTCCATTTTCCATTCATTGTTTTGCATTTTCCATTCA